CAAATATTTGCTCTGCCTTTCGTTCTGCATAATCTCTGCTGGATTTGATTTCATACTTTTACATTTGTTCTGAGACAAAATAAATCTGATATCTAATATAATTTAGATAAACTTCAATCAGGACAGCAAACTACACACTAATTATAAGATTTAGTGTGTAGTTTAATATTTTGCTTCCTTGAAGCCAAACTGAGCTTAAACTTTCTCTTCTTTCAGGCGTAGCAGTGACTTTGACTTCGGCCTGGGGTCATTCAGCCTTCTGGACGAGATCACCAAGGGTCAGGAGTGGGCTAAGTTTTTAAACCCAAACCTCTCCATATCCTCAGTAACTGAGAGACCTTCAGAGGAGCCATCAAACCAACCCCATATTCAGCCACAGCCTCACAGCCTCAATCAGTCACCGGGAACTTTGAATCAGGTTGGAGTCAGGAACAACCAGTGGAGCTTCAGGAGTACGGAGTCCTCACCTGGTCCAGTCTTCAGCATGCCACAGTCAGCCCCTGTTTTCCCACCTGCAAACATTGACACTTCAGTATTAAGGCAGCAGGCTGACCAGTCGGAGCCAATGGAAGACGGACAAAGCCGATCGGAAATGCTGTCCAAACTCCAGCTCAGGTTGTCGGCGTTTGCAGAGGTCAGATGTTCATTTCTTTCTGAAAGCGCAGCATGTAAAAAAAAAAAAAATGTTTTTCCACACTTCCAGCATTAAAAGTATAATTTCTTCTCGGTTGCAGCCATCAGGTAATCCTTACCATTCAATAGCAAGAAACAGAATCCAGATGAGCAGAAAGAGGCAACATCAGCCGGCTGAGAGGAAAGACGAGAGATTTCAGACTGAGAAAATGAGTGACGGAGGGGTGACAGATAAAGGTATGCAGAAACAACATGAAAACACACAATCCATGTTTTATTATTCAGTAAACATTGTCAGGTTGTAACATATTTTATATAGATATATGCAGAATCCAGTCCTTAACTTACATGGTATATGTGATGCTTATTGGATACCTGCAAGGGACTTAATTGGTATTTGAAAGTTACTTTCGAGATACTTACTGCACACTTACACACTATTTGAAGCTGCGGTATATAACTTTCTTAAACAATATGTTTTTTCTTACATATTTGTTAAAACTGTCACTGTTGTGAAAGTAGAATATAAAACAGATAACATGAAAAAAAATCAAGTTCCTCTGCCTTCTCCATGCTACCTTCAGAAACTCCCAGTAAAAACAACAAATCAGAGGCAGGAGGAAGGTATTAACTTTTAATTACCTGGACTTTATTTGTCAGGAAAAAGGCACACCATTGAATCAAAACTGGGTTTAATCATGTAAGAAAAAGAATCCTACCTATTAAGATACATATTATGTATCAACAGCATTCTTATGGGTGCCAGCAAAGGACATACAGGAAACCTACAGGGTACGTAAAAGAGTACTTGGAGGAATTGTAAAGCACCTACTAACATTTACTCACGTTACTGTAATTATGTATGATTTGTCCGTACTTTGAACCTTTTTAAGTTGCTTACAAAACCTGAACCTGGACTGTACTCAGCTACATTTGAAGTCACATCTGTAATGACTTAAAAATAACATAAAAACGCCAGGAAAGACGGCACTGATCCTTCTGCTGGGTTAGCAATCAGATATCATAATGCTGCATCAATTAGAAAACAGGCTCAAGCATAGTTAACCTCTGTGAAAAAGAAGAAGAAAACTCGTGGCTGTACATAAGAGACGAGGTTAACTAGAAGAATGAGAAAGGCAGTTTAAGACCATTTAAAATATTCTGAACAATATTTTAACAAATATAAATAATATCAGTTTTATCAGTACTTGTGATTGTAATTTGGCTAAAAACAGAAGGTGCTTAGCTTGGAGTCAATTATTTAAAACTATTAGACTGGAGGGACGTTGGGCGTATTGGACAGGGAGTTTTCCTGCCAGGTTCTGAGGAAGAGGAAAATCAGAGAGAGGCTGCACAGATGTAATGAAGGATGCCGAGATGATCGATTGTAGGGAATCCTAAAGGCGGCAACTGACCGAAGATATTGTAAATAGACGTCCCATTTAAATTTCATATAGTACCTCCTAAATATTCAGATCATATGCTAACGTTTTATTTGGTGTTGAATTTTTATTTATATAGCCCTTCAAGTAAAGCAGTCTGTTAATACCCTTTAATTCTTGTTCTGTATTGCTGCCAGTTTCCATGCTTCATCTACGCTTTAATAAAAATGTTTCCTCCTCTAGCCTTCATCAATAATGGTATTTGCTGCGGTTTCTGTTCATCAACTTTCCCCCTCTCTCATGATGATCCAGAGCCCATATCTTCACCATCCTCCACCAGCATCCAAATGATGGAAGAGTCGGTGGAGTCACAGCAGAGAAACATCTCATCTTCACAACAGCAAAGGCCTCTTCCTGTCTCTCTGTCTCCAACATCACTGAGTCCGTCTGCTCCGCCTCCCCGGAGTGTGCTCAGAAACAACACGTCCCATGAAGCCGAATCCGCAATGGAGACTATGACGAAACGGGTGAGAGATTGTGGATAACAGCGCCTCCTTGTGGTGTAACGTTTTAAAGCGTAAGGTGCACTTACTTATCAATTAGCGGCTAAAAACAACTGATTAAATCACAATTTGAGTGCATTTTTTTAATGCATACATGTCAAATTCAATATGGATTGCAGGCAGAATATATTGTTCTTGATTCCACAAAATACAGAAAAAAACAAAACAATAAACTCACTTAAACTAAAAGTGATAATTAGAGACATTTCAGAAAATTACAAAGCTCTGTTTTCGATAACACCATAACATGTCTGACACATTTTGGTAAATTTGACACTGATTTTTTTTTTTAATTTGTTGTTTTTTTCACGATTCTGTGACGCAGAGACGGGTCGAGGAGAACCGCCGGGTTCATTTTTCCGAGCAGGTGATCGCCATAGATTCGCCAGACATCATGGACGATACGGTGGAAGAGGAGGATGAAGAGGAGGATTTGGAAGCGGATGAGGACTCTTTATTCGAGCCGGACTTTGAGGCGGCGCAGGCAGAGATAGACCAAGCGCTGCCAGCCCGTCGTTCAAATCTCCCTGCTTGGATACAGGCTCTGAAGAGGATGAATGCTGGGAAAAAGCACAGATAGTGGCTGCGGAACAGAAATGATTCTGTCGAATAAGTGATGTTTAAGCAATGCATTCTTAAAACCATCATATTTGAGGAGAGTTTGTCTCCAAAACAGATTCATCTGGTTGAATCTGTTTTAAAACTCTGACCAAGTGGCAGAGTTTGAAACCACTGGTCTGGGACTCTTTGGCTACAGAAATTTCTGCCATTTTAAGCATTTTTCCAGTCGTACATGGAAACCATTTAAATGAATATTTCTACAGAATGTGTGTCAAATATCTCTGGACACTCGCATTGTCCTGCTCAGAAACTGCTTTGTTAACAAGCAATCAATCAGATCATATGCTTCTAGCAATAAACTTTAAATCGAATGATTGAAATGTTTTTCTGCTGTCCTTGCAGAGTTGTTGTGTGTTGTTCTCCATTATTCTCCTACTGGTCAGCACCTGATTGTTGTCTGATCTAATGTCTCTGCTCCTGACTCCCACACATATCCTGTCTGTCTGCCATGATTCTCAACCAGACAGCCAGAGCAACTCACTGCCAAGAGAGGGAAACCTTATCAGATTAAGATAATGATAATTATTCTAATCAGCATCTGTGCAACTCAGCCATTTGCTTCCAAAGTGAAGTTTTCGGGCCAGGAGTGTTTTCATCCTGCAAGGAAAATAACTTATCAACAATTGCATGGACATAATACGAGTCTTACAGTGTGATGCCATGTATATTTGCATCTATGTCCTATTACTTCCAGATGTGGGGTTGAAACACTCGCTGTCAGAAATTCAAAACATGGGATATGATGGCATATTAAAATTTGCAGCTACAATAAAAAGGGCTCAAGGTAACAAGGAGTGAATATTTTTGGAAAACCTCTGAATTGAGAAAAGTAATAGAAAGGTTTATAATCTGATACGATCTGCCACTTTAGACCAAATCACTGGGAAAAATAAGAAATCTGATACAGTTTTGAAGCTTCAGCTGGAGCAGCTGGGTTCTTGTTTACAGCAAAAGTCAAGAGCAGTTAACCATACAATGAAAATTGTGTGTAATGGGTATAAAACTTTAAATGTTCTTGTTTTTATTGAAATTTAAGTCAAATTAATACTGACCAAGGAATTGTGACTAATCTTGGTCAAGATCATGGCCTGCTATGGCATAGCCCCCACTTTATAGCAAGATGACTGAACAAACAATTCTTCATGTTCTTTTGTTATCACAACATGTTACAAATGATAGAAATTAAGGATATTGGATTTAAAAAAAAGAAAGCAAGAAGTGTGATGCATATCCTGGATGGGAAAACTTTGGTGTTAACTTCTATCCTGGCTCTCCCTGAAGAAAACCTCTCAGAAAACTGACTGACATAACCCAAGACTCACTAAGGTTTTTAGATCTCTGATGGTATTGATAAATAATGGTAAAAAATATAATAAAAAATAGGCAGTGGAGAGAGAGGAGTGGAAATGATATTAATTTATGATGCATTAACTGAGAACTGAGAAAATGCCAAAGTACATAACTTACTGTATGAAAAGTAAGTATGTAGGGGTAAAGCTGGGAAATAATGAAAGAAACGAGTGTAATGGTGTTTTTTTTTTTTACCTCTAAAGTCCCTCCCAGATATTAACAGCGTCTGTCCATTAGTGTGCACAGGAAACATCTCATATTGACCCTGAAGTGCAGCAATTATGGCCAATTTGCAAGCCTCAAGCCACACAACACACACACACACACACGCACACACACACACACACACACACACACACACACACACACACACACACACACACACACACACACACACACACACACACACATATCCCACAGTCCTTTTCAATGATGTGGATTACTGGATCTGTACAGTAAGACACATTAAGTCTTTATTTGAGATCACAAACATTTTGTTGTATTGCAAGAAAACAAATAAACTTCTAAGCTGAAAATGACAAACAAAATATGATTTTTTAAAATTATATAATCACACAAAATGCGATACATTATTGTACCTAAAAGGACTTAAGAAACTGATGAACTGATGGCCATTTTACACTCATTCACATCCTATGATTCAGATTTTCAAAATATTCATACGCCCTCAAATGTTTCGCGTTAGTCCTGTTACAACCACAAACTTTTATGTGTTTTACTGGGATCAGCACAAAGAAAATCTGACACGATTTCTTGCCTTCAGAAGTCGCATGATTAGTAAACAGAAGCCATAGATGTGCAACTTAATTCAACCAAACTGACAGTCTGCTTGAAGAAAAGTGATCAAAGCCCACACATGAATCTGTGGCAGGGACTGAAGATTGCTATTCCAGCATATTCTCCATCCAGCCTGAATGAGCTGTAGTTATTTTGCGAATAAAAATGTCCCTTTTTCCTGTGCTTTTGACTTAGGAGTAGCTGTCATTGCGGCAAAAGCTGGTTGTCATGGCAACCCGTGGGAGGTTGAAAACATTAGCAACTTTTCATATTGCTATGTGTAGAAAACTTTCAAAAAGCTTCTACAATTCTCCTTCTCTGAGTTCAAAATTGTACATTGCAAAAAAAAAACAAAAAACAAACAAAAAAAAAAAACGATTTTGATTTGTCGCTAACTAAAGTTGAAGGGAATGTTGATCAATTTTACCCGCCCTAATAAACCTACAACCACCTATGAAATCCTGACCGCTGGAGAAAATGGTAAGAATGTGTTACAAGGGTGAAGAGAGAAAAACTATTGAGGTTTGTCCAGTTTCTTTCAGATTCCTATCATCAAAAATTGGTGGAGAGGGATATGGCTCCAGAGTCATTGCAGCTGCTGTTTCCTCGTCTGACTGACAGCTGGCTTCCTGGTTTTGGAGTGAGGGATTCATTAATCTGTTCTTCTGACACCTGAGTGGATAAGGCGATTAGAAACACACCACACCACAAACACAGACAAATCCGAGTCAAATTAACGTCATTTGCCTTTAAAACAGCGTTGATCTGTGCAAATTCGGCTTTTTCGGGAAATCTATGATAAACTACAAAAACACTCCACTGAAATGCATTAATTTGTTTGAAACAAAACTAATGCATTTCTAGAATGAGAAAAAGGTCTTTGAATTCATGATCACTTACACGGCATGGTTCAACCACAGCTTGACCTTTCACCTACTTTAGCTTCTTCTCTCTAAGTGCTTCGTGATAAAGACTACACGAATCAACTGCGACTAAAAAAATCGCCGCTAATGGACTGATGAACCTCCAACTGTTACTGAAATGGGTGTTTACCAAAACGATTGAATGGGACACAATGATTTGTCTCAACATGCAGCAAGTTACAGTTTTATAGTTACATTTCTACACATGGACTTGGGATTTTGCTGAGGATAATTGTCCTCAATGCTGCAAATTATCATCAGATAAATACTGACCATGACATGACTTCACATTATCAAATATGCCTCATATCCTATGAAGAGATAGAACAATTTTACCCAACTTATATCTACGAAAGATAAGTGTAGCCAGTCTACCTGTGATGTTTCCTAAACAACTGAATTCAAGTTTGCCTTTGAGATTCATTGCTGGTTTAAAGGCAACAAGCTCATAATCTTTAAAAATATTATTTTTTTTACACTTCTTCACTTTTCATTATTACTTTACTGCATTTCAAACACATAGTACCTCCTCATACTTCTTTTCTTTATAGTACTGTGCTCTTTTCGAACAATGCAGTAAGATGAGATCACAGAGAACCGTACCCTGCCAATACAGAATGAAAACATGTTAAAACCACTGGCGTTTACAGGAATATTCTATTCTATCCTCAGAATATCACATAGTTCATACCATCCCCACTGAGGTGACAGCTGTGATCACATTGATCACTGTTGGAATTAAGCTGAACTTTCTTGCCTGGAAGAACAAGAGAGATCGGCACAAAGTTAATCTGTTTTAACAGTGTTTTTTGATCTTGTTATATATATATTTTTTTAAGTTAAAAAGGTACAGTCTGAATGCTAAACATTCATTTAACTCTTGATGACAGTAGGAAATCCCCCTGTAGAGTCAGAGTTGGGAGAGGGATCTTGGCACTGAGCATCCGGTGATCGATTGGATTGGGTTGACTCAGCAGGAGCCTGAGCTGGAGTGTGAGCTCAACTGGTACCAGTAAGATATAACTAAACTCACTTCCACGCACAGCTTGGGCTCTGGAGAGGGACTGGAGACTCTCTTACGACATGCAGTGGTATAGAGATACTATCAAGCCCCCGGCTGAATGCCCTGGTGTTGGAGTTCTTCCCTGTGAGTTAAAGAGCCAAGTCTGTGTGGCTTCAAATAACAAGAGGGAAGGTTTTGAATGTTGCCTCTTTTTATGTACCAAGCTCCGATTCAGATCATCCGGTCTTTGAGTCTCTGGATTCGGATGTCATCTGTGAATTCTCCTGTGCCCAAGCTGGCAATTTTGTGGCAGCCTACAGGATGTAATTGAGAGAAACAGACTTCCACATCGGAATCCAGACAAGGTTTTCTTATTGGATTTCTTTGATAGGAATAGGATATTACTAACAAGCACAAGTACTTGATGTCAGGTCACTTTAGGACAAAGGTTGATGATTTATTTTTTAATTCTATCGTTAAACTTGTCTTGTTATGTCTTGGACACTTGACCGGACTCAAACTGAAGAAGAGGTGATGTAGGTCTTGCTTGTTCTTGTGGACTTTCCAAGCAGCAGACAGGCACAGGATGACCAAACGGACAGCGGCTTTATTGGTGGGCAAGGAAAATATTTGGGTGAGAGAAGAAGCTAGAGAGGGTTTTAAGAAAAAACTCTTAATGGGCCTTAAGAAAGTTTTGTAAAACCATTTGATGGCTCACATTGTTGCATATCTTAAAACAAACCAGGTAACTTACAGTGCCGGTCACGATAACATCAAAACGAATTGCAAATGCTTTGTGAAGACGCCGATAATCAGTTCCATCCTCTGTCTTGTAGTATTTGGCAAATCTGGATTCAATGACAAAAATATGTTTAAGAAAAAGCAAAGTGAAAAAACAAACAAACAAACAAAAAAATAAACAACAACTACTGAGTACTATAACCTACCTGAAGTTGTAACCTTTGGAGAGTTTGGCATTTTGAAACGGAGCATCCAGTTGAGAGAAAGAGTACTTAGGAACGCAGAAGTTGACATCATGGTCCAGGTTACATCTCCACTGTATGATTATTCCTATTTCACCACCCTGTCAAATATAAAGTAAACATCAAAGCTCAAAAGCTGTAAATCCTGAACCTGTGCAGTTCAAAATCTACGCTGTAGTCCAAAACTGCTTGCATGACTAGATCCCTTTTAATTAGGATACAGTATTACATAAATGTAATACAATACTGGCTTTTGACTGCAATATGTTTTGTCCTTCATTTCTGTACAAACTGTACTGTCTGCTCTTGAGTACATCTTCACCACAGCAACAGCTTATGACTTTTGTGTTTATATTGCTTTCTTTTAATACAGTTTTCTTTATCAACAACACTTAACTCTGAAAATTAAGGACAATTTAAACAGTAGGAAAAGTGAGACCATGTCTGCCAGCGTAGTCACATTCTGCCGAGTTTCATTCAGAATATAATCCACTTGAAAGATGGGACAGAACGGATCTTCGATCTTGTCATACTTGCAAGTCTTAGTATCTTTCGTTGAATTAAAATTTCCTCTGAAAAATAAAAAGTTTATGATAAAAACATGAAAAAAGTTAATTCCTGAAACTACTTACACTTCTGCTTGACCCTTAATCTGATTTAAGTTAAGAAGATGTTTGTTTGTGAATGACCCACCTGGTGACGTTGAAGAGGGGGAAACGAATGCTGTTTTTGATGTAAATGGTGAAGTTCACAAACTCGGGCATTGGTTTCCTGGAGATGGTGATAATATTAACATCTTAAGTGACAGAAACATTACAAGTAAGTCTTCACCCGTGTGTGTGTGTGTGCGTGTGTGCGTAGGTGTGTGTGTGTGTATGTGCTTGTGTGTGTGTGGACCTTCGTGTGGCCTAATCTCACATTTTCACTTTGTCATCCTCTGCTGGACACCATCCTTCAATCTCACAGTAACCAGCAGTTGTGTTGCATTCACCAGTAATCATACCTTTTGAAGAAAATAAAATTGGTTATCAATTTGACATTGTCTAATCATTTTTAGAAGACACTTCTACAAGTGCGAGCGTGTGGGTGTGCGTGTGTGTGCGTGTGTGTGCGTGTGCATGTGTGTGTGTGTGCGTGTGTGTATACAAGAACAATTGTTACATGATTTCTTCCAGAATGGACACCGGAGCCCATAAGCGGGGTCATTTTGAGTTGAGCCTTGGTGTTACAGGCAGTAACTGTACCATCTAAAGGTAAGTGACAACAGATACAAAGGAATCCTAGCAGATGAACAAAACTGCATTACAACAATCTGAGTAAATTTGATAGGGGGTTTCATTTGGGTATTGGAAACGATGGACGTGGAATGGCACGAATACATCACGTAAGGCATGCAGTGTAAGACATGGAGGACATGAGGCGTGTGAATGCCCTCACAGACCAAGGATCCCACAATCCTTAAAGGTTGTACTCACCGTCAGCTTGAACAGAGCCAAGATGCTGTATACAGTCTGCATTTGAGCTGCAATTAAACTCTTTCTCAGACTGAAATAAAGATAGAGACAAAACAAGTTTAAAAATCCAGAAGACATTTTATGACAAAGCTAAATTTTTCTGGGTACACAAATAACAGCAAGAAGCACGCAAAAATGATTTCTATGAGATGAAGCAATGTGCTCAGACAGGTGTGTTTTACTGCATAAAGCTTCACCAGCATCTGGTCTGTAATTTGAGACATAAGCTGTAGGTGGATCGATTTATTTGCAGAAATCCTCATGTTTTTAGTGTGTCATCTGTATATTTACAGATTTTGTTACATGACTCCTTACATGATGTGTGTTTAATTACAATCACGAAGGATTTAAATATGCTAAATAAATTAAAGCTTTATCCAAGTTGGGAAAATACATGTCTGAAATGTTCCAAACCTCTGGACATCTTCCTTGGAACTGGTTGTCCGTCTCTATGATTTTAGTAATGATGCTAAACGTGCCTTCGCCCTGAAACACACCGCAGCATGTATTTGTTATGAAAGCATAAACTGAGTATGAGTTTCTGTTTTTAAAGGTGTTTAAATGTGTAGTTTTGTGTTACACACCTGAGGAGGGTAGATATAATCAGCTACGTCCATCACAGCGTTGTCAAGTTTGCCAAATCCTTTCACTTTTGTTGTGACTGAGGACTCGATGTTTGTGTCGGCCACCTGGTAAGCTTTTTCATAGAGGAAGACGTAGCTGCAGGGCAAAGGAAACGACACAAAAATCCTGAGCTGAGACTGAGCTCAGATTCAGATCTTACCTCTAAAACCACTCAACCAAAACCTTTGCAGATATCTAGGTTTTTAGGCAAGAATATCAGTTTAATGTGGAAAATGTTGATAATAAAAGTAATAACGATTGTTTCGGCGATAATCCAGATGCATCCCAGAAAAGGAAAGGTTTGATATCAAACTTCTGACCTGTAGGTGTTCTTGTGGTTTCTCCTTTGAATAATTTTTGTTAAAACCACGATAGAATTTGGACAAAGTTTAGATTTGTCTACAAAATACTTTAACACAATAAACACACACACACAAAAAAAACAAAAACAAATTTGTATGTATTTCTCCCAAATAAAAAGAAATTAAAGCAATATCTTTTTTGAGGTAGAACGACACAAAAACAAAGTACAATTTCGAGACAGAATCAGAAACCAGAGTGGATACAAATCGCAGTTGTTAAGTAATAATTTATAAAATAATTGGTGAAGAAGCCGTCCAAACCAACCTTATCCTAATCCTATGTGCAAAAGTATTAATCTTCTAAATTTACAATTGGCAGCAGTATGTAGAGAGCAACACAAGCTTTTTGTTACATACTTTAGAAAATTGTATGACATTAAGTTCTGGTGTTTTTATATAAATTTTTCAGTCTTAAACACATCTTGCCCACCTGAGTGGACATGTGAAAAACTATCCTCAGAAGTACATGCCAAATAATGGAGGTTTCAGGCTTCAAGATGAATAGAAAAGGATTTCAAAATATCTGGAATGAATCAATTTTAGCTCATGCATAAACTGCAACTTAAATAAACATATTTAAAAAAACAAACAAATTACTGACCCAACAAAATACGAGATGATGATTAGCTGCGCCAGACGATACATGATCCCTAAAGGCCAGCTCCTCACCACCACGGACTTGTAGGTTTCGTAGGTCAGGACGCTGGTCATGCAGCTACACAGAGCTGAAGTCATGGCTGCAGAAATCCTTTTTTCAGAGAAAGAAAAAGTCCACCTTTTCTCCAGGCCTTCAGCCTAAACCTTTGAAAATCAGGGAAACTCTCTCCTGGTTTGGACAATAAATCTTCACAGAGTGTCTCTGCTTGGCTTGTCTTCTTCTCTGAAAATCAGTCTCTCCCCTCTGTGTCATTGGTTAATGACATAAGTCAGACCTCACCCTCTTTACTCAAAGGAGCGAGAGGAGGATGCCTATTTCCTTCTTCACCACAAATCCCAGTCTCCCACGCTGCTCTCCACATCTCTGCTTTGAAGTGAAAACACAGCAGCCTCGTGGACGCTCGTAAACACTTAGCAGGCAATCAATGCGCCATATATCTCCAGTCGTTTCTCTGCTAGTGTATCAAATTCATTTAGCAGGTGTCTCGTATGTTTTATCACCTCATTCCATCAGCTGAGTGTCGGTAATCGGTGTACAGTTCACTCACAACAACCGGGCAAAGAAAGCAAGAACGTGTCCTCTGCTTCCCTCCAGTCTTTCTTTGTTTTGTCATCAGAACCGCACGATTTAATGTGTTTCCATGCGATAAAAAAAAGCCACAAAGTAGTGAACGAAGTAGAAAGTAGAAGAGAAACAATGTATGGTTTTAACAATTTCAAAAGGAAGCTGTGAAAAGTTTGTATTCACTTCCCAGAATCAATCATTTTCAGAGTCTCTTTTGGCCGTAACTGCGAATCTCTGACAGCATTAAGGGTCTGGATTTAAATACATTTTTAGTGGCCTACATGAAGAAAAAAAACAAAAACAAAAACAGCTCATAAATCGCGTTATGTAGCCACTCAGACACCTTCTAAATGCTCAATATGCATCCATTAAACTTTTTTTTCTTCCAGATTTCTATACAGAAACTCGAAAGAAAAACGAGTCACTGGTAACAAGACAGTCTAAAAGCGCTAGATGAATGGCAGCTGGTCATACGATAGGACCATTTCTGGACTCAGGGAGGTAATGTAATAGAGTGACATTCAATGTCTCTCTTTCTGTGCATTTCTGCATGTGCGTAGACACCGTGTCATTTCTTAAGTGGCCCCCATTACGTTTGTGGTCTTCTAATGGTAACCCGATATGGCAGCAGAAACACAGAAACACATGCTGTGGATGTTTGAGGAGCACGAGCTTTCAGGCAGCACGTATTTGTATGAGTTGTTGCGACGGCCAATTATACTTCCCAAACATATACGCTCGAGACACTCGCAGAGGAAACTGTATGCAGACAGAGCAGATAATTAAGGATGAGCAAATAGGGAGATACAAACATGAGGATGGGATCAACGCTGGTAGATTTGCATTAGTTATGTATGAGGCAGCATTAAGTATCCACTTCTAATTAATGGTTGTAAAGAAAGTAAGGAAAACTGAGACATTAAAGAAGCAAAAAAAAAAAAAAATACAGATGAAACCAACGGCAGGAAATACTTGCAGAACTATAAAAATAATTATTAAATAGACTAAAACTGGGACACACTACTATAACCCAAAGAGAAAGACATGGCTCTGTATTTCTATTGATGTGTAAGAGTTTTGAACCATCCCTAAATCTCCTAATACTTTATTTTAGTATTGCTTTATTTTAGCTGGAGTCTGTTAAAAGTGTCTCAGGAGGTTTAGGAACATGTTTTAAGAGTTTTACCTTTGGGCTTTTTCTGCTTTTTCACTTATTCTCTTGTTGCAAACGACAAAGAGCCTTGCTGCGACTTCTGTTTAACAACAGACTGTCTCCCTGCTACTCTTCACTCCCAGTTAGCGGCACAGAATGACGCCACACTTTTAAGATTTTTGCTTGTGAAAGTTTGTCTCATTTTCTTCCCAATTCATTGTTAGCTGTATGTGTTGTTCGTTCACATAAAATGCAAATAAATTGCATTACATTTGCTGTTTTAACGTGAAAACGTGATAAAGTTAAAGAACTATTGAAACTTTCCATGGCAAGTTTAGTTTTCTAAGCAGGGAATGAGTATTTTAAAAAAACTTCATCATTCACTGGAGAAGAATGAAATTGTAGAATTTCCACAAAATGTTGCAAAGGGATGATCATTATAATGATTCTTTGATTCCTGACTTTTCATCCAGTCAGCCAGATGTTTATTAACAGCATAGACATAATCTGAATAATATCTGCAGGGGGTAGAGCCTCCTGGAGAGCCACTGAAACCATCACTTAAAATGAACATCTCATCCGGTGATGTTTGGCTTTTAAAAGCCACACTCCAAACCACCTTCCTCCCCGACTTTGGGGATTTGTTTGAAACCATCGTCTCTGCAGCGTTCGCCCTCTAAACACGCTCACCCAAACCCAACTGACTGGTTAAACTGGCTAATGTGCGCACAGCCAGTGGGAATACCTTGAGCAAGACGGCTCTAAAAGCTCGCTTCACGTAATGGGCTGGGGAGGGTTAATGAGCTGCAGGCTTACAGGCAGAAATTTGTTGAATGCTGATAAGACTTCCCTGATGAAGGAAATGTTTTATATGACTCCATGGGTTTGTTTTTTAAACTAATGAGGCAAATTTAGTATCTCGTTTTAATTCATGAATTGTCTGATGACAGTTTTCAATCATCTTCTCTTTCATTTGCTTTAAAGGACATTCAAAAATGTCTCAATTCAGAATAGAAATAATCTAGAGACAAGATGTAAATACTTTGTGTAAATCATGAGATTTAGGCGTCAAAAATCCACGATCTGAAACTACAGCAGCTGATTGGCTGGCTGATGTGAACTTTCTATAGGTTAGCATTGATCCTGACAAAATCTGTCGTTCATTGCAACACAAATACTGTTGTGCAAGTTTTATTTACTGCAAAAAATGAGATAATTTCCCTTATGTCTACCAAGTTATATGTTTTTTTTTATCTTATGGAAATCCCAAAGATGTGTTGTCCATTTGAATTCAGCATCCTTTACTCTGATGCCGTCCATCACTGTCCTCTGATTGGACCATAGAGACACATTCAGGAGGATCCCTGAAACTTATAAAATCCCCTACAAAAAATAACCCATTAATGTCCCTGAATTCAACAATATCACACATATGTGATCATTTAAACTTATACCACTTTGGTTAAGGTGAATAAGCACATAATTTTTTATTTTATAAGAAACATTTCAAGGCTGTCGAGGAGCTTTAGCAAAACAAAAAGACCAAAATCCCAAGAATTTATTGAAAAATTCTGTATTTATTTTGACCTTAAAACAACAAAAAGACATTTGTTTTTAAAGAGCACTACACAAGAGGAACAAAAATTGACCCCTCATTACACTGACAAACTAATAACTCCTACAATCCTCGGCGTTATGCAGCTAACAATCATTCCCATAGGTTCAACTGTCTCATTATTTCACCGAGCCGTCAGGAGGAGACGAGCTCAAAAATCAGCGCAGATTGGTTTCCAGACGTAGTCACAAAATACGTGATTGTACTTTAAAAATTAAATGTGCTGAAGAAAACGGTACAACTCAAGTTTGTTGATTGGTCTGAAATCAACGGTAAAAACAGTTGGTCCTGGGTTTGTGGGTGTGATCAGTCTCTCTTCAGTCGGACTCTTCCTCTGAGCTGGCAGGAGTGGATACAGCTTCCTCCTCCTCTTCCTCCTCCGATTCCTGGGTGAATAAAACATTTCGATAAGAACCACAGGGGTTGATTCATCCGTTATCACAGTGAAGATTTAAAATAAATGGTTGACTCTGAGGCTCGCCGTAAACTTGAAAAATACTTGAACAGAAATGGAAATTAAATGTTAGCTCTCATCATTCCAGTTTCTTCAAAAAGTCAATGTGGACGCACACAGGTGAAAAAACTCTGCAAACAATATATAAAAATAAATAAAAATCAGTAAGACAGGGAAATGTATTCAAGAAGCAGAATATAGCTCGACTTCACAGAGTTTCCCAAACTATTAGTTGTGAAAACCACTTTAGGTAACATTGATGTCAATTAATGCTTAATTAGGACCAAAGTATCTGTCCTAAAATGTGTTTGGTGCGTTTAGTGGGACACAAATATTCAGCTGAAACTTAGACATGAAGCTGAAGAAATGCTGGATGTCACTGAACTCTAGTGACTGAAAGTTTTTAATGGTAAATAAACTATCAGAACTCAGATCGACTTCTGAGAAACTCAAAAAACCCAAGTCTGGAAACCTAAACGGCTCCTCAAACAGCAAAAAAACAAAAACAGCCTCTACCGTTGAATAGAGCGATGCGTTTTGATGACAATAAGTGGCGACACAAACTACACAAATACAAGAGGAAAACATGTATATGTGCTTCCAGGGAAGTTGTTGAAAGAAAATCAATCATGGATCTCTTTAATCCGTTAGTCAGAATTACTTTGCTGTTACCAGAGTGATGTGTGAAATTTGTGGCTTTTTCTTTATGTTTTGAATCGATGCTTCTTTATGCTAATAGTATCCATGACTGGTTTTACCTTCTTCTTCCTCTTCTTCTTGGATTTGCTCTTGTGGTCGGAGTCGGAGGAACTGTCATCGCTGGTCTCAATGAACTCTCGGCTTTTGAAGCTGTCGTTTCCTCCTCGTTCCTTTTCTTTCTCTCCGCTGCTGGACTTTCTCTTCTTGTCATCCTTTTTCCCACCAGATTTTCTCTTCTCTCTAAACGGTCGGAGGCATAGGAAGACAATTAGGGATGTAACACGAGCTTCTTTTGGAGAAAAAAAAAAAAGAGACACTGAAATAAAAGCCTTACTTCCTGGGACTGGAGGTCGATCCTCCTCCGCTCTCTTTGTATTCCTTCTTTAATTTGTCATATTGCCTTTTTGCCTCCCCTGCTTTTGTTTCCCATTCCTGAAAGAAACAGAAGTACAAAAGATCAGGGGTTTTGAAAGAAGTGCTGCTCAATTAAAGCATAAAATCTCTTCCAACAGGCCAGGTCTCACCTCCTTCTCGTCTTTGTTCAGCTGTCTCCACATCTCTCCGGCCTTCTTGGATATCTCTGTGATGGAGATGCCGGGGTTCTCTGACTTGATGCGCTCGCGGCTGGAGTTCAGCCACAGCATGTAGGCGCTCATCGGCCTCTTGGGGCCAGCTTTGTCCTTCTGCTTCTTCTGCTCAGACACAAACAAAATTGAAACGTTGCTTTCATTGAAGACAATCTGAGACTTGGGAATATGGGTATTCTCTTTTGCTGCTTTCTCACCTCTTTGCGAGGTTTTCTTTCCTTTTTCTCTTTCACAACTTTAGGTTTTTTGGCCTTTTTCTTCTT